GCATAATTAATTTTTTTACTCTTTTTAAATTTGTACTTTAGGTTACCAAACCCTGTGTACTTGGGAACACTGACCGCGGGCGTAATTCATTCCACAGCTTGCTTTCTCTATAAATTTTTACCTAATATCCTTTGCAAATAGCTTATGTCAATCAACCTCTTTCAAAAGTTGAAATCTTTTGGTTGTTTTGTCAATTATTCCTTGACAGCTCACGTTTTTGGCCAGCTTATACCCTCTTCAATTTTTCACTTGTCCATTTTTGTGTGTTCGTTGGACTTTTTTGGAAAGTTCTAAATCAGAATCCAGGACAACTCAAAGAAGCTGACACTGATTCCCAGTTTTCCAGAATAGGAGACTTAATAGAAGCCGGAAAGAGACCGGACAGATTCTGTATTTACTGTGAGGTGAGCACTGGGTCTGAATCTCTTTTCTGACTAACATTTCAAATTTACTTGATCAAAATGGTTTTCTTTGGAGGGTTGTAACTATTTTTGGATGGTTAAATCAAATTGAATTATTTAATTAATATATTTTAATATTGCTGTGTGTTGTTTCAAATAATAATTAAATCAATATTTTTAATTAATAAAAGTAATGTTTTATAATAAATAAAAACAATAAAAAAAATAATAATAATAATCAGAGCTGGATCCTAATCTGTTTGCTAATAATAATAATAATAATAATATATTTTGTAATACAAATTATAAAATATACAGTAATTATAATAATCAGTACTGGATCTTAAACTGTTTGCTAACATATTTTGAGATTGGAAAATTGAGATTTAAGAAGTTAATTTATTCACAGCATTAAATGTCTATGTTTGAACCAATCATTTTGGATAGTTAAATCCCCACGTACAAATATTATATATTTTTAAAATGTATTATTATTATTATTATTATTATCAAAATTCAAATTTCAAAAGTGCACAAGCTATTTTCTTTCAGTTGATCCAAGTGGACAACTGTAAACACTGCCGCTTGTGTGACATGTGCATCCAAGACTACGACCACCACTGCCTCTTCCTCAATCAATGTGTGGGACGAGACAACCACCGCATCTTCATCCTCTTCATCATGTCTATGGTAATGGCTCACCTCATCTTCATCCTCAGTGCCGTGTACTACCTCTGCCTGAAACTCTCAGGCTTGCAGATGTCTGACTGGGGCTCAGTGGCGGGAAGAGAGGCCTCGGTCCTCCTGCTGACTCTGTTCAACAACATCTCTCTGATCTGGGTGGGATGGTTGCTAGTTGAGCAGCTTGATGCCATTTCCATGGGAACCACCACCTATTTTAGGCGGTATGACCACAAAGGGCCTTCTAAAAGACAACGGCTGGGAACAATCCTCACTTTTCTGCTTGAAGGGAGAAGACAGGAGCACAGTCAGGCTTTCAGTATATAGAGATGTTTTGAAATTCCAAGCAACATCACAGTTTAGTCTCTTATTGTTGTTTATAAAGGCTGGAATATATAACTTCTGTTACATACTTCACAGTCCCGTAGTGTATGATGGGCTCAGATTCAGATTTTCTAGCTTTAGACTACAATTTTATCCATTCAAAGAATATCAAACATGATTGATATTTTGCGCTGATTTTAGAACACGCTGATGTTTTCATTTCTCATGCATCTCCTAGCAATGAGGTGCATGTTTCTGCGAGAGTTAGTTTTTTTTTAAGTCAATGCGATCCTTAGTCGTTTAGTGTATGATGCCCAGTTTTGTTTTGTTTTTTAACCATTTACAATGTCAGCAAGTGTGTAATGCATATTGTGTTAAAAACTGTTCAGAATCTAAAAATTGTATAGTGCATTCCAGCCTTCATTTTCAGGGAAGATTGTTAATTTGAGACTCCCATAGTTTGTAAAAATAAACAAAAACAAAAATGACATTACCTAAATTATAAATCTTCGTAATAGTGCTTTACATAAACAAAGGTCACTGCTGCCTTGCCTTGCCATAACTGTATCTGTATTTTTTTTTAATAAGAAACATTTTAAATAAATGTCTTTTAGTGTAAATTTATAGTTTGATTTTTCATTTAATATTTTGAAGTAAAAAATAAATCTGTACATGATGTTTTTGCAAAAACAACGCACTGAAAATGGATGTCCAGTCATTTATTAGCATATTATATTGGGATAAAGTATTTGATTTTGTTATTCTACAAAATAAAGATTAGAACATTTGTTTTGTAACATCAATTTGAGCATTAGGATTGTGAAGCCTCTCACGCTGCATTCCCAGCCCTGCTTTTAAGATGGTTGTCCATCATTAATCATCTGCAAGGCCTGTATAGTCTGCTGCTAATTTTCCATTGATTTTGCTGCAGTAAAACCATGCAGGGGGGAATCTGCAGACCTATATCATTGGTCTAAGTGACATGGCAATGAGTAAAGGCATTTTGATACTATTGTGGCAAAGTCCTGCTAATGCAAGAGAGCATATTCAATCTCACATTCAAGGTTATTCATGGGACATCCAAGTCCAGGGTTTGATTCAGGCTGTTTATTGTATTTTCTTAAGACAACCTTTTTTATCTGTACGAGGCATTTCTTTCCCTATGAGTCGAAAACTCCTCAGTCTTTCACAGTGAATCAGTGCATCATGTGCTCATCTTCATTCCCTCTATATCTATTATTAAATTAAATGATAATTCAGTCTAATTGCTAGTTTATTTGGTCCCACGCTAGACTCGGCCTGGATGATTTGTATTTTAATGATGGTTGCAGGCTTATACTTGGAGTCTGAATTACATTTTGAAACATTTTGATTTTCAAGTCAAAAAGAATTTTCCTCCTGTATCGGTATTTACACGTAATATTACATGACTTTTCCAGGGCAATCACACAATTTACACTGCCCTTGGCTCGACTCCATAAAGCAATACTGTTATACATACCACTCTGCAAAAAAGCAACAATAAACCTTGACTTGATATTGTTGCTCTTCATTTATTGCATTTGTTTAATCACACTCTAAAAAATGCTGGGTTGTTTCATCCAAATTTTGGGTCAAATATGGAGTAACCCAACTTTTGGGTTAAAAATGTAATGTAAAAATGTAACCCAACGGTTGGGTTTGTCCATATTTGACCCAAAATTTGGATGAAACAACCCAGCATTTTTTAGAGTGCAGTATTAAGTGTAGGAAAACATCCAACTAAGGCCATAATAAGAGGCACTTGCACACTGCACTGCTGTTTTCACTTCTGCATTAGCAGTCGTCATTTCCTTAGATGTCTCCGTCAATCTACCAATCTTCTTGTGATTTTACACCTCTCAGCTTTTGGAAATTTCCCCTTTATTATGCAGTTAAGCACATATTTTTAGCTAGAATTTAGTTAATCTAGAGTAGCGAATGTAAAAATACTGATCTCATTTCTCATTTTTCTTTAAGACGTGGATTTATGAAATGTGATAAATTCTTGGCAAATCATTCTCCTCCCCTCAGTTCCTTAAGATATTAAGTGGGAGCCTCTGGCTAGATGTCACATTGGTGAACTTTACACTTATAACTAGTTCTCCTTTTACTTCTACAGATATTTGAGGTGGTTATTTTCAAATGCCATATGTGAATATGTTAAATTGTAAGCCCTGATGTACAACTCGGAGTGTTTACTGCGATGGAGAGATGATGGAGATTTTTAGGTAATTAAGTGAGTTTTTTTAAATCATCTTATTTGACTGAAAGTGTTCTTTATTGTAATGTGATTGCAACAACTTGATGCGTATCACAGTATGAATGGCAAAAATTTTCTACAATTCATAACATTTATATGACCAATGACTATGTACAGTATGTAGTATATTGTGGATGCTTTCTGGAATGCCTCATTGTTAATAAGTAATTAGTGGATTTGTCTATATAGTAGCTGTCACTGTGAGCCTTTCAGCATAAACTTTTTAAATGAAATCTCAGATCTTCTGATGTACAGTCACCATGTAGTTTTGCAATCAGAGCATTATTACTGTTGCAGTTGTTGTGAAATGTACTATGTGTAACATGGACGCTGTGAAAAGTGTTACTGGGGATTTATTTTAGGAAACCATTTTTTAAATAAATTCATTATCAAAGCAACTACTAGATCCTAATAATACAGTTATAGCAAAATGAAAGATGAATAAAAATTCAAAGGATTAGTTTACCTAAAAAGAAAAATATGCTATTTACTCACCCTCATGTTTTTCCATGCCCATGTTGTTGTTTTTCTATTATATTTCTATCTTTAGAATTATATGCAGCTCTTTTCATAAATGACATAATGGCCATGTCTGTCACCTCCAAAAATGACAAAATCACCATAAAAATAGCTAAATTAATTTTGCAGTACAGTATATTCCCATTTTATTTTCAGAAAATTCTATAAATAGCACACAAATCATATATAGGTAGACTACTTTTTTGAGCTTGTTTTATGGAAAATATCAGAAAATTATTAAAAAAAAAAAGGTATATGAGTTTTTACTCACCCATGAGGGTGAGTAAATAATGACAGAATTAAAATTTTTGGCCAAACTAACCCTTTAACAGCTGTTTTTTGGAAGTGATCTGAAATGCACAAAAGCCAGATGGTGAAAAGGTGAACATAGAGTGAAGGAGAGAAATAGAGAAGCACATAAAATAGTACACACAAGCACATGCAGATACAGTCACCATACTAAAGAACCAATTAGGAGGGAAAGCGAAGGGGGAGAAATGGCAGAAGCCCTTCTGTTTCTGCTTCACTGAATTATTGAGTGTAATCATCCAGGCCTTTAATGGCTGGTCCAAAGTGGAATTAATTTGGGTGGTGTGGGATAAATAATGCATTATGGGTAAGGGTGGATCTGAGCGTGTGTAAGAGGTCTCTCTCCTCCAGCTGCCTCTGCATGATGAGGGTGGGAGGGGCCCGGGAAGCGAGCCGCTCAGTGCAGTGGGGTAGTGGGACATGAAAGGGGGAGGGAGAGAGTGAGGAAGGGAGGGAGGTAGACAGATGCTGTCCAGAGCAGGCGGAAGAGGTTCAATAGGGCGAGGCTCAGGAGGAGAGTAGAGTGCGGATCCCAACATGTGGATGGAGGACAGTGTTGCTCAGCTATGAACACCATGCTAAGTCCCAAGCTTAGACAGTCCAGGAGAGGTAAGACCTTTAATTCTCACTGCTGTTTCTCAGCATCAGTGACCTGCATTCCCATCCGTAGCAACACCCTCTTCTGGCTGCATTAGCTGCGCTCAGTACCGGCTCCTGCTCCGCTAGTTCGCTGATCTCACAGCTCAGTGATGGGCTGTTGAGGACTATATATCTCCATGGCAGTGATCCAATAGACTGGGTGGTTGCTTAGTAACATCTTTCAGCTTGATTAATGGTTAATGAGTGTAAGTGGTCTTTGGCTTTGTGTCACACTCCTTAACCAGGAAGTCATGATTTGGATCCTGACACATGCTGATGATGCCTGATGTTTTTTGGGGGATTTTTTTTTATACAATCTTAAAAATAAAGATGGTGTTTGCAGCAATGCCATAAGAATGATTTTTGGGTTCCCCAAAATAGAGTTCTTAAAGATCCATTTTTTCTTAGTGTGAAGAACATTTTAATAATGAGAATGTTTTTTCACTATAAAGAGCCTTTTGTGGAACGGAAAGGTTCAATGATGTTAAAGGTTCTTCTTAGAACCATCATTGCCAATAAAGAACCTTTATTTTCAAGAGTGTACAGTACATGATGGAGATAAGTCAAGAATAATTGTAATTATGCCAATGCCATTTTTCTGCACATGAACTTACATTCTATTCTTGGTCTATAATGAATTGTAGTTTCAACACTTAGAATCAAGGGTGTAATAAATCATAACAACTGAATGTCAAACAGTTTCACCTATATGAGTAAAAGCTTGCTGGCAATCATGGCTTACATGTCATATAATGCAAATTAAATGTATACATCTACGTACATATCTTATAACTTTATTGATCAGATAATACTGTACAATAAGTTTTAACTAGTTAAAGGTTCAGTTCACCCAAAAATTAAAATTAGGCTGCGTTTTACTCACCCCCGAGGCATCCTAGGTGTATATGACTTTCTTCTTTCAGACGAATCCAGTCGGAGTTATATTAAAAATTGTCTTTGATCTTTCAAGCTGTTTAATGTCACTCAGCGGGTGTTGCATTGCTTCAGTCCAAAATAACTTCAATAAAAATTGCCCATCCATAAAAAAAGTGTCTCACATGGCTCCGGGGGGTGAACAAAGGCCTTCTGTAGCGAATCGATGCGTTTTTGTAAGAATAATATCCATATTCAAAACATAATAATCACTTGAACCCACCTGGATGATGTGACGGCAGCCATAGTGCGCCAGAACTCCCACCACACACCAGCTTATTGGTGGAGAGGAGACAGAGTGATGAAGCAAATCAGCAGATATGGGGATTGTTAGGAGGCCATGATGATCAGAGGCCAATGGGCAAATTTGGCCAGGATTTTTAATGACCACAGAGAGTCAGGACCTCGGTTTAACGTCTCATCCGAAGGACGGTGCTTGTTGACAGTATAGTGTCCCTGTCACTATACTGGGGCGTTAGGACCCACACAGACCACAGGGTGAGCACCCCCTGCTGGCCTCACTAACACCTCTTCCAGCAGCAACCTAGTTTTCCCAGGAGGTCTCCCATACAGCTACTGACCAGGCTCAGCCCTGCTTAGCTTCAGTGGGTAACCAGTCTTGGGCTACAGGGTGATATGGCTGCCGGCATATCACTTAGAAGTACAATTAGAAGTACAAAACGAGGATTTGTAAAGAAGAATGTCAGAGGATTTCGATATAAGCCAAGAGGAGACTGGTTTTCCTTTGCTAAAGTAAGGAAACTTTGCTTCCTTTGATCCTGTAAACAAACATTGGTTTTCACGAGACGCATGCGCAACGCTGACCTCATACCTCATGCTCCCGGAATTGCTTCTGTGTACAACTGTTGGTGCAAGCTACATTAAAGTGATCATTACGTTTTGAATATGGATATTTTTCTTACAAAAACACATCGATTCGCTACAGAAGGCCTTTGTTCACCCCCCGGAGCCATGTGAGACACTTTTTTTATGGATGGGCGATTTTTATTTAACTTCTTTTGGACTGAAGCAATGCAACACCCGCTGACTGCAATGATAGAGCTTGAAAGATCAAAGACAATTTTTAATATAACTCCGACTGGATTCGTCTGAAAGAAGCAAGTCATATACACCTAGGATGCCTCGGGGGTAAGTAAAACGCAGCCTAATTTTCATTTTTGGGTGAACTAACCCTTTAACTTTAGTTAATGCTTTAGGTATCATGAAGTTAAAAAATTTACTAAAGTTAATGCTTAAAGTTAAAACTAAAGCACTATACAATTTTTAGATTCTGAACAGTTTTTAACACAATATGCATCACACACTTGCTGACATTGTAAATGGTTACAAAAAAAAAATAATAATTTTACAGCATTTATCCATATTAATGTTAATTTCCAATGAAGTCAATGTTAATTTCCACATATATTAATGCATTTTTAACAGCTGTATAAATTACCACAGTATTGTGAATGGACAATAGTATATTTAAACAACAGTATATTTGTAAATTAATATGAACTTACATTAATAAATGATATACTAATACATATACTTCATTGTTAGTTTATAATACCTAATGCATTAACTAATGGTAATGGATTGAACCTTACTGTACAATGTTACCATCAATTCCATGTACAAAACAGGTGCAATATCATTTTTAAAGTTGAATTGATAATAATTGCATGGTTTTTCCTGATTATTTCTCCTGCAAAATGCTATTTGTGAATTGATTTCTGCCCTGCTGTGCAACATAAAGCAAACAGGAGCATTTGAAGCACACTGTCTGCTGGGCTCTGCATTTATCATCTTGCATATGGATTGTGTCACTTTTGATGAGGGTATTGGGTTTGCTGTGTTTTAAGCTGCTACAGCACATATTCCAGCACAGCAGGCTCAAAGACACTGCCAGGTTTCATTTGCAGTGATATTTCACTCTGAGTGTCAGAATATTAGGTGGGCTAAATTAAAAGGCAATTGCCTTTTCAGTTTTGTGCTGTACTTATGTGTAAATTGTTATCAGGAAGTATGACAGATAGCATAATTTTTATATATTTAAATCTGTCTACTTTGATTTATTTACATGTTCCTTTACTGTTACATTACATGTTAACATTAGATGTTTTTAGACATATTACCAGTGGAAAAATGAAGTCATTATGGATCTATTTATTCACTTGCATTTTGCATTATTTTTAAGTTTACTGTAAATAAACCAATCTGCAAGATGGTAATAATAGAGCTGGATTCAAGCCCTTAGTGGAACTAAGAAATAATCAAAAAAAAACTAGGAGCTACACAAGATTCATTATTATTCTGTTCCTCATGCCATACTCAAGGTGTCCTCATAAAACATGTCTTGTACGAAACTCTTTATTACGGGACTATTGTAAGCAGGATGATCATTTCAGGCAGAGATTAATTGTTCATATTAATTCTTGATGATTTTTAACAAGTCTTCATATTCAGTACCAGTGCCCTGAAAGAATATTTAAGGAGCAGACACATAAAAAAGGCTCTTTTGTCATTTAAAAAATGAGTCTAAATGAAATATGCATGGGCCTGGTCAGACTTCCAGTATTTTTAGACTGAACATGTCACATAAGCAGAAAATCAGACAAATGGAGGAAAATTCTGACGCCGAATGCTCTGCCCGGTCGGCAACCTGCTTGTTATTGAGAGTTGGCCGCTATAGGTTTATGGGTAATAAGGAGAAACACCATTCTGTGTGTCCCTGGAGACTGCTGTTCAAAGAGCTAGATCATTTTAGGGGCTTTTCTCCCACCCTCTTCCCTCCCATTTGTGCTCTGTCACTCTTTCTCTCTCCATGAGGCTGTGAGGTGTACATTAACTCTGATGAGGCTTCCATTACTTACAGTCATTTAATCAGAGTGGCAGCGTTTGCAGCCCTTCAGGCTAAGGAGCGGTCGGTTCTTTGCTGTTATGCAGTACCTTTTTAACTCTGTAACATAGAAAGAATATACTTGTGTTGTAATTTAAGGAAGTATAATTATATATTTATAATTATAATTTTACTGGTTAATATACAGTAATTTTATATATTTATATATATTTTGAAATACTTGTTTTATATTTGTAACAATTTTAAAATTTTTAATAATATATGTAATTTTATAAAACAGAGCAGACAGTGACACAAACCAAATAATACCAAAAAAAAAAAAAAAAAAAAAAAAAAAAAATGGAAATTTGATTATCATATTATATTATACAAATATTATAATATTTCCAATAAATAAATAAAAACATTCAGCAATTTAAAAAACACATTTCAGCTGAAAAAAGGACAAAATAATATAGATTTTTTTTCTTAATATATTATACTATAGTATATATTAGCATATAAATAAAATATAATTGCAATAATTATTATTAGCATTAAAATTACATTAAATTGGCATTATAACTAAAGTAATAAAATCATTTAAAATTCATAATATGTTCACTTAATTGTGAAAATGTAATAAAATGAAAACAAATTAATATGGTTAATTCCAATTTTTAAAAAGTTTATTTATTTATTTATTTTTAATATATAATTTTAATATTTTTAAGACATGTTCTCAGCACATGAAAAACAGCATAGTGGGAATGTCCCAGCAACTGTAGGCCACTCTGATAAAGGCTAAAAAAAATCCAGAGTGATCCTAAACACAGCTGTACAAAGAAAGCTAGGGAGTGCACTCTCATGTTTTCTGCTATCCTGCTGCTCTCAGCACACAGGAAAACAAGGATTGATTTTTTTCCCTTCCGGCCCACGAGCATAAAGCAGCTGCTTGTGACACTGGGCATGCCTCTCAAATACAGCTGCCCAATCTCATCTGCTTTGTTGTGGTTTGTGGTTGTCTCTGGTCAACACAAGGGGAATTTAAATTCATGAATAAGCCAAAAAAAATGGGCTTTCGCATCACTGAGAAGCCTGTCATAAGGCATGCATGATACATCTTGTTTTCAGCAGAGGTGGGCAAATTGCTTGCATTGCCAAATGCATCTATGCGTTTTTTATGTGCGTTCTGTGTATATACTTGTCCAGACTAGTGGAGGCTAATTCACTTGGTTTAGATGAGCAGAATGGGAATCTACTATAAATGTGACATGAAATCTAACCTAACATGTTTGAATGTATGTGTATGTGTTTGTGTTTACTTTCTCAGCTAGGTCTAAGAGCATGGTCATGGGGGAGCTCTCCCGCAGGCCATCATCCCCCAGCCTCCAAGACAGGATGTTAAAAGCGGGCTGGCTTAAGAAACAGCGCAGCATCATGAAGAACTGGCAGCTGCGCTGGTTCGTGCTTCGAGCTGACCAGCTCTACTTCTACAAAGATGAAGAGGAAACCAAACCACAGGTACAGTGGGAAGAGGACAGAACAACCAGAACAAGAATAAAAATAAAGACAGATTATTTATTATTATATAATTTATCTGGAATATAACATTGTCTTTCAACAACATTAATCAAAATAAAATCTGACCCTGTTGTGTCTAAACAATGTGACAGTTAATGTTGCAAAAAGAGGTTTAAAAAATAAGAGACCTTGATCTTTTATTTCATATCTGATCAATAACTCTACCTCTAAAAAATCAATATGTTATCTATCTTACTGATTTAAGCATCGATTGTGAGATAACAAATTACTTCACTGTTTTCAAGTTCAACCCCTCAACCCACAATACACACCATCTACAGGTTATTGGGCTCGACCTGAATCAGTGAGAGAGACAAAACTGCATTCATTCAGGCAGTTATGAATTTCATTGCATTAGATATCTGAAGTTTTGGGCCACTATATGTTCATATGTTATAAACATGCACACTACCATTCAACAACCATTACTATAACAACTACTTTTTTAAAGAAATTAGTACTTGTATTAATCAAGGATGCATTAAACTGATAAAAAGTGACAATAAACTCATTTATAATGTCACAAAAGGTTTCTATTTAAAATAAATGCTGTTCTGTTGAACTTTCTATTCAACAAAGAATCCTGAAAAAAATGTATTACAGTTTCCAGAAAAACATTAAGCAGCAAAAGCATTATCAGCATTTTGTGAGCAACAAATCAGCATATTAGAATGATTTCTCATAGGGTTAATGTGACACTGAAGAGTGTATTAATGGAATATATTAATGGAACAAATGGAATAAATTAACAGGAATAAATTACATTTGAAATTATAATAAAACAGAAAACAATTATTTTATATTGTTCAAAATATTTCCTAATTATTACTGTATTTTTGATCCAATAAATTCAGCCTTGGTGAGCATAAGAGACTTATTAATTTAAAAAACCTTTAAACAGTGTACATAAACACATACATGATAAATATTAGAAAAATAAAAATCATAAAACATTAAGTTAAAAATAAATGAATGAATATATATATATCATATAAATCATATATATGCTAGTGATTCATTCTCCCGTCAGTGAAGCTTTAGGAACACAGCTATATCCTCCTCACTGTCTCCTTTACACCAGGATGACATCAGCATGCTGTTAGCCTGACAAACTAATTTGGAAACAGCATGCCCTCCTGCTTGGCTGTAGTGTAAGTCAAAGCATTTAGCGGATACAGAGCGGCTGACCTGTGACCCCTAATGCAGCATGACTTTCCTCAGCCTCCGAGTCTGGCTCATCCATCCTTTATCTGGTATTATTCTCCTCCGGAGCCTGTAAACTCTCTGTAATGCTCCTGCTCTCGTTCTCCACCCCCACTCCCACCCCATCTCCATCCCAACTTAATTCAATCTCTGCAGCAAAAATGTGCCCAGCTTGCATCTGAGTGTGTAACCCTATAAGCATTTACCCTTATCAATGCATAGTTTGAAAATTCATTTAACTGCAGCTGAATGGCGGAGAGGAATTTTAGTTGAGCAATGAGAACTTGCATCGCTGTGTTAAAGGGGTCATATGATGTTGCTAAAAATAACATTATTTTGTGTATTTGGTGTAATGAAATGTGTTTATGCGGTTTAAAGTTAAAAAAACACATTATTTTCCACATACTGTACATTATTGTTTCTCCTCTATGCCCCGCCTTTCTGAAACGCGTCGATTTTTACTCATTGGTCTGAAAAGCGAGATGTGCTGTGATTGGCCAGCTATCCAGTGCGTTGTGATTGGCTGAATACCTCAAGTGTGTGACGGAAATGTTATGCCCCTTCCCATTCTGTGATGCCCTGTCCGGCCGGAGCGACGATTCAAAAACATTAAAACCCATTATAAACGAGGCATTTGTTGCACCCAGTGGGGAAATAATTACGGATTATAATGACTTATACTGTCATTTTACGTTGCATTGCGCCGCGTAAACATAAAACCCTGTCTGCATTTGTGAT